CCCTGTACTGTATTGTGCGGCACATGGTGAGGTGCTCAGCGGCCTTGGCTCCAGCCAGTGAGGGGAATAAAGATGCCTTCAGGGAGGCAGCATGGTTGAAAACCAACTACAGCTTGGCATTGTCTCCCTGGGGGTGGGGGATGTTACTGCCAATGAAATGGGAACTCAGAATGTAAATTAAGTTTAGTTGCAGGAAAATACATAATTTTTTTTGTTTGAGAGGGACAGCGCATAGAAGGTGGGGGGGGGGGGGCGGGGGGGGGGGGGGGAGCCCATGAGTTTGTGGATGGAGCTTGGTACTCGTTAACTCCTGTCTGGTGGAAGGAATTCAGGCTTGGGAGTGGGGCTGCCATGGGCAAATGTGTAACACCTAAGGGGACACCAAGCATATCATACGCACTGCAGATTTGTGTATTTATTAAACAATGTTACAGTCAGTAAAGGTATCTTGAGAGAGAGAGGCAGCTGTTCCCAATTAGGACAATGATGCCATACTGACTAGACTTGGCCCTGACAGGGAGTTTGAAGACCTTGGGATCTATGCTCTTATTAGATGTCACGTCATTGCTATGCACCATTCCCCCATCTACCATAAGAGGACGATGTAAACCTATCAGAGGCTGGTAAGACAGCTAGCTGAAAAGAAGAGAAACGCTAAGAAGAAAATTAATCCCATCTTTTAGAGAAAACGTATTCATGACACAAGTTTCAATTTAAAAACAGAAATTTGGAAAAATAAAAATCCTGGGGTTAGGACAGAGGTTTCCAAACTATCTCAGTCCATGAGCCCTTAGTGCCTCAGAGCTGTTTGGAAATACCAAACAATTCTGTTTACTATGTAGTAAGGTCCAAACAACTTAAGTCCTAAAAACTCAGGAGCATTTTTAAAAATAATGCACATAGGGGCGACTGCGTGGCTCAGTTGGTTGAGCATCTGACTTTGGCTCAGGTCATGATCTCACAGCTTGTGTCGGTTCGAGCCCTGTGTCGTGCTCTGGGCTGACAGCTCAAAGCCTGGAGCCTGCTTCAGGTTCTGTGTCTCCCTCTCTCTCCACCCCTCCCCGCTTGCCCTCTATCTGTCTTTCTCAAAAATAAACATTAAAAATAAAAAAAAAAAATAATGTACATAAATTGAAAGAAAAATAATTTTATGTCATTTTTTAATAATCATACTTACTAATAGATGTGTTCTACTCTAGCACAACTCGCCTTCTCAAACTTTGGAAGCAGAGTAAACTCTGCCACCGGCAATTCCTGTTCCACATGGATTTCCATGGGGTACTTCCTTTTTATCATAGTAATTTTTAAAAACCTAGCTTTCCAAAGATACGCATCATCTAAAGGAATATAGCACAATCTAATATTGAAATGTGAACTATTTCAAGTACTAGTTTGTGCAATGTCCAAAAGATGTCAAGTTTCTCAAAATTTTAAGTGTCTCATGATGCCCCCTGTGAATTTGCTGTAACATCTCATTCCTGGAACACAACTGAAGACAAATGGATTAGGACAATGAAACCCTAGATACATTGAAAGTAACTGCGGTAAAGGTGTTTATAATGGCCTACCACCGACGGCTCTGGTGATCTATGATTAAGTCTGAAAGTCCAGCACTCAAGAGCCTGTTTATTTCTTCTTGGGCACTTGAGATAATGTCTTTGAAAGCGTTTTAAAAATTCTGAAGTGCTGTAACAATGGTAATTGCAGAATTAGCTGCTGAAAAAGCTGTCTACTAGAATGTAAGCTCCAAGAGGCCAGGGAGTTTTGCATCCTCAGTGCCTAGAGCAGTGCCTGGTATATAATTGGTCCTTAATAAATAGTTGATGAATTAATGGATAAAAGAAAAGAGGACTCATTGACATTTTGACTCTTGGTGTTTTTAATAGCGTTGTAAGGTTAGTGTTGGTCTTACGCTTTTCTCTGTATTTTCTCAATTCAGTTAGTGATCTTCCTAATGAAACATAAGTTGAGGTGTGGTTAAAGATTACGTATGTACATAGAAGTGCTCAGCAAATGATTGATTTTTTATAGGGAGGCAAAGTAGGGTGGTGGCAAGGATATAAGCTTTGGGGTTGGACTAATCTGGATTTGAACTGACTGGACATTCACCAGATTTCTGTGGGTCTCAGCTTTTTCGCATGTAATATGGGTATAAACATCTTAGCATATAGGATTGCTGTAGGGCTTAAATGAGAAAATGTATGTAAAGAACTTAATGCAGTGCCTGGAACATAGGACGTATAGATAGGAGCTATTATCCCAAAACATAATTTTCACTTTACTTAGCTCATCTCATTCCTCTGAAGGTAAATTTCAGGACATATGAATAGATCGTATGTTATATATACCAGACTACCTCATGTTACATACACATGCTACCTCAGGACCTTTGCGTTGGCCTGGAGTGTTTTTCTGATAGATGTCCATTTTCTTCCACTGAGTCTTCTCAGATTTACCTTCTCGATGAGTCCTACACAGAATTTCCATTCATAATTCACAAGTCCATCCCCTTACACCTATCACCTTTTAACATACTACTTTCTATGCCATTTATTTTTATTCCGCTCTTACAAGAATATAAATTCCAGGACAGGGATTTTTGTCTGTTTTGTTCTCCAATACCTTAGTGTCTAGATCGGTGCCTAACACAAGGTAGGCCCTCAATAAATATTTATAAAAATCGAATTGTTGGTTTAAATATATTTCCACTGAATCTTATGCTTTTCAGTTTGGACCCACTATTTAGTTTGTCAGTATGATTCTGAGAAATTATTACCTGCTTTCATCCTGCATCTTTCAGTGTGACCAATCACCCACATTTCATGCGACCAGCCACACGAGGGCAAGTGCCAGGAATCCATCCCTGTTCAATAACTAGCTGTGTGAATCTTGGCGATTTACTTAGCCTCTCTGTTTCTTGGTTGCCTCACTTATAACTGAATATAAAAGCCATCTCTACTCCACAAAAATCTTGTGAGGATTCAATGAGTTAATGCACATGAAGTGCTTACAATTAGCTATTGTGATTCTATTTATAGTCAAATCTAGGCCCCTCTCCCCTGTAATCCTGCTCCAGCCTCTACTGCTCCCTGTTGGGAAATTCATCCTCTCGTACTTCTTTCATTTCCCATATCTTACACATCAGGTCTGAAACTATGAGGTCTCTTCAGCTTCAACTCTTCTCCATTATTATTATGTTTTTTTTTAAAGCATTTGCTATTAGGCCCAAATTGCTTTTTGGATCTCCAGGTCACTAACCTGTGCCTGGAATAAAGCTTTCATGTTTTGACAATGTGAGCCTAAGGAAAACCCCAGTGGAAACAAGGGGGAAATTTTTCCTCCAAGTAGCTTTATTCGACTTTAACCCAAAGCTATTTTAATACTTACTATCATTTATCACCAATAATCTACCCCATTTCATTTAATGGGGTTTTTGTTTTTAGATTTTTAAAAACCCTGTCCCTCCTTAACATCTTGGGTTGTACTACTTTAAAGAGAAAATAATTTCAAGTCTTCTAAAACACTTTTTTTTTACCATGAAACTAATTTATAAAATCCCTAACATGTATATGCTCTTTGAACTTCATTCTGAGGCCAGAGGAGAAGAAAATATCCTCTTCCTGGAAGGGCTACGCTATCTTAACTTGGACAGCGTAAAATCTGCCCTACCTCACACCACCAGTCTCAGGAAAAGGAGGCTGCCAGCGAACTTGGCTAAAGGTGGGAGGTAAGAGGTCCAAAGGATTAAATTTCCAGCTCCCAAAATAACCTCTGAGCACTCCTGCCACCTCCAAATCAGGTCCTGCATGCTTCTTCATGCTGGAAGAGTGCCACCTCTCTGGCCTCGTACCAGGAAGCCCTGTGGAGCCCTGGATGGCCCTCTGTCTCCACAGAACAGCCCCCTAAAGAGTCTGGGGTGCGCACTGTACTTAAGGTAGACATACAAGGTGCATCTCTTCTTATACTCTTATCATTCTTCACTTTCTTTAATGTCCCCTTTTTCTTCTACCTTCTCCTCCACCTGCCTTTAGACTAGTGGAAGGTCTCAGGACAGCATTTTCCAAAACTCAGTAATGTGAGTACCACTGTCCTATATCCTTCCCCTGCACCATGTCCGAATCCCACCTGTATTATTTCTTTAAGTTAGCTCACTTTTTCAGTTACATTTGTAGACACTAGCTATTAATGTATTGCACCGTTTTAAATTTAAAACCATTTTCATTTGCCATAAACAGAAGGCTCACATGTAGATACAATTAAAAAAAAACTATATAGCACTGGAATTTTAGTTGGATATGGGGGCTTGCTTCAGGCCTTATGACTGGGTCTACTCTGTTAGGTTAAGGAATTCTGGAGACGTACTAAAGACATATTAGTAGCAGAGTGAGACTTGTGCCTTGAAATGGAGACTGGAAAGAAGACCAAAACGAGAGCAACTCTCTCATCTTCTTTTGAAATGCCATATCTACATATAACAAGCATTCCCACTTGGGGAAGTATTGCTTTGTTGAATTTTAGACTCACAAAACGCAAATAAGTTTGTGAAACTTGATAAGTCTCATTTCTTTCAAGCACCGAGTACATTATTTATTAACTGTACTCAAAAACTTCTTGCTCATTTTTTCTCATTATTTGTGCCCAGCTTTTGACCAACTACCACAGTGTTTTTGCATATGACTCCTGTGGCTCACAAAATGCAAGTGAATGGATCTTTGGAAGCCATCCAGCCCAAATGCCGAGGACGACTTGCCCAAGGTCACACAGAGAGTGGTCTAATTTTTGTGTTCCTTGTTCCAAGAAACAAGCTATCTCGTCCCTCAGGAGTCTTCATGAAGGGCTGCCTGACTGGAGGGAAGCCAAACCTCTCGCCTCCACTATGTTGACTACAGTTGCCATGGCAACGGCGCACCGTTCCACGCCTCGTCTTGGTGACGTCCAGATAACAGCACCCAATGGGAAAGCAGCTCGGCTTCATGCACCGCCTTTCCCGGCGGGCACCGCCTTCGCAGCCGGGAGAGAAGCGTTGACTGAGGGGGGAAGGCTGGCTCGGGTCGCGGCCGCGGCGAGTTACATCCTTTTCCAATCTGTCCGCGTCCGCCGCCGCCCGTGACGGAGCCAGGATGTTCGGGATGCTGAGCAGCAGCTTTGAGGATGATCCCTTCTTCTCGTGAGTGGGGAGGGAGGGGCGGGAGCCCACGGTTGCGCGGGAATTCAGGGATCTTGAAGGGAGCTATTTTAAGGGACAAGAGCGAGTTAAAACTCTGAAGAGGAGGAGAGGGAATTTAAGTAACTCCGGGAGGCGGTCTGGAGAAGAAAAGGACTCGAGGGCGTGAGAGGGAAGGGAGAAGAGAATTTAGGGGTGTGGGAGATTGGGGAGAGAAGAATTGGGGGGGTTGGGGGGGGAGAGAGGAAGAGTTGGGGGTGTGTGGGGGGAGAAGATTGGGGGGCCGTGGGGAGGGAGAGGACTTGGGGACGTGCGAGGGAGGAGAGACAAGGATTTGGGGGCGTGAGGTGGGGAGAGCTGCGAGCCGGCCCCTGGCACTGGACTTCGGGTGCCCGAGCGAGTTCCCGCGTTCAGAGGTCCGCCTTGGCAGCCGCAGAGCTTTGCAGGTGACGGTAACTGCCGTTTAGGTGGAATTTCTGGTGAGAATTATGCTTAGAGGACCCTTTTCACACCTGTTTCGATCCCAAATGAGGGGCAGGGAATGTCTTACAAGATGACAATTGTTTGTAAAGGGAAACATTTTTAAAATAGCATTTTTCATAGTATGTGCTTATGAGAGCACAAGAAAGTTGGAGAGTTATGCTGTCCCTCACCACGGAGTGGTTGGAAGTTGCCATGTTCACTGTTTGGTTTGTTTCTGCTTGCTTTGTCACAAAGCTAGCCTTGTTTGTAAAGGGACTCCTTTTTCTGTCAAAGTGCAAATAGGACAGGGAAGCAGAGGGTGCATTTAACACCGCAGGTCAACAAGCATCAGCCCTGTGGACAGTCCCAAGCGAATTAACGTGATGCCTTAGGAAGAAGGCATCCAGAACTTAGTTACTTCATTATAATGTAGTTTCCTTGGGGGTGGGTAGGTTGCCTGTGGGTTTTGTTAGTTCTTCCTTTGGCGATTATATAAAAGTAGTACAATCTAGTTGAATTCCCAAGACAGGATGATTTGTGATACTTTTTTGCCCAAATGTTTTGCCAGTTTGAATTTTGACTTGGTGTCCTAATTTATTTTAATCAATTAAATTCTTTATGCAACTTGGAGACATTTTTTAAGAAGTTTAAAATGTTGACAGTTTACCACATAGATTGTTTCATTGTTTTTTAAAAAAAAAAATATCATGGTGGCTTAAATGTGTTAGTAATATTTTAAACCAAATAACATACAAATAATAATTGAAAGGATAATTAATGGTAAAAAAGATGAAATGATTAACATAGAAAAATATAATGATTAATATTTTATTCTAAAGATTATTCATTAAAATTAAGGAGTGTATGGATTCAGGCAAATTAATTGTGCTGTTGTAGTTAACTTGTTTGGGAGCTGTTGGGACATCTACAATTAATGTCATTTTAACAAATTTTAAATTTTGTGCTATATTATGATTTGCTCTTGTAAAAGCCTCTGAGAATAGGGACTAAATATATCCATAGATTAGTTGAGCTGTTGAAATGGTTCCTAAGTAATTGTGACAGCAGTACAATGGGTAACAGTTAAGAAGATTATGGTAGACAACTTTTGAGTTGTATTATGTCCTTGATTATATCAAAAAGAGCAATGGCCTTAACTAAACCATGAGTGTATAATTAGTACCTTCTTTAAAACGTCTCGCAAAAGTGTAATTTAAACTCTTGGGTAACTGTCTGAGCAAAAGCAATGAACCCAAGAGTCAGGGTCAGAAATAGTAACAGATCACAAATAGTAGGCATACATCAAAGAACACTCTTCTCCATGCTTAGGATGGAAAGGACCATCAGTTATAACTCTCCATAGACTTTTTCAAATGCAGGCAGCCGTTTCATATAAATTGAGGATAAAACTATTGTAATTAACTTTATAAAATAGATGCATGCTTATAATTTCGTTGCTCTACATTTAACTATATAAAGAGTAAACATAATTGGGTGGGTAGGGGAGTAAAGAAGAAAGAGAATGTGAGTTCCTATTTATTTCCAGTAATCTGTCATTTGACACATCCCCTTGACCCCAACCCCAAACAAAATGAATATCCATTACTCAATATAAGTCAAACATAAGGAATTCATAAAGATGGCAGACTCCTTATCAAATCATCCACTGACCTTAAAGAACACGGAAAGGTTCTATGCCCACCATCTTTTGTACAAATATTAGCCCTATTACTAACATTATGTGTCATTGGGGTCCTTTGTTGCTAATTTAATGTCTGACATGTAGAAAGTATGTCTACATGTACTACAAAAGTAAATATTGTTTAATGATAATCTGGTGTCCTTTTACACTGGTTTTTTTTTTTTTAATTTTTTTTTCAACATTTATTTATTTTTGGGACAGAGAGAGACAGAGCATGAACGGGGGAGGGGCAGAGAGAGAGGGAGACACAGAATCCGAAACAGGCTCCAGGCTCTGAGCCATCAGCCCAGAGTCTGACGCGGGGCTCGAACTCACGGACCGCGAGATCGTGACCTGGCTGAAGTCGGACGCTTAACCGACTGCACCACCCAGGCGCCCCTTTTACACTGTTTTAAAGTTAATCTGGTATTTAGTTGATTGCTGAAAGTATTTGCATTCAACATATATGCTGTTGTTGATGTTGACACTCCCTACTTTGAACACTACCATTGTCTAAATAACCATTAGTTCAGTTCAAAGATACCAATATAAGCGCACAGTCTAATTTACTAATTATTCAAAAGTGGGCAAACAAAAAATACTTTTTGGATATAAAATTAGAATTATTAAATAAGTTGAGACTGGTAAAATACTGTAATCAAATTGTCAAATGTTTAAAAGATTTGGGTTAAAAAAAACAATTAAAATCTATAGTCTTGATTCAAATATGTTCATTTTAATTTTTTTAATTTTTTAGAGAGAGTGCAAGAGAGAGTGGGGATAGAGAGAGAATCTTAAGCAGGCTCCATGCCCAGCGTGGAGCCTGACTCAGGGCTTGATCTCATGATCTTAAGATCATGGCCTAAGCTGAAATCAAGAGTCAGACGCTTAACTGACTGAGCCACCCAGGTGCCTCCAAATATGTTCATTTTCACTGTTTACTAAAAATGGTGTGTCTTAAATGTTTCATGAGAAAATTAGAAAGAAACTTTAAAAGTGATATGTTGAAGGTTAGTGTTTTATTATATGTTTGGAACCTTTTGGGGGGGAATATCTGATGTTGCAAAACTGAAATTCAGTGAAAATTGCTGTTCCTTCTTAACTGAATAATACTTGTAATTTGGGTCAGAACATAAAAGCTGAAAACTGGCATTTCTGGCATGCAGTTTGCTTTCAAGAATATCACTTTCCCTTCTCACTTATGTTTGCTTAATAAGAAATAGAAATGCGTATGTATGGACAGGAAAATTAATTTGAGGTTAAAAGGGTTCTGGCATCTATACTGTATCCTAAAAGCATTGATTATTTAGTACAGAAGTTTACACATATCTGGTATATAGGTCTACTTTGTGCAGAAACATGAACTTTGAATCTTCTGAACTACAGAAGGAAATTCTGATCATGCAAGTCTACAAAGAACAGCTATGTTACCACATATCAGCCGTTAGATATTAAAGGCTCAGAAACAAGTTGGCAAATCTATTGGCCTTAGTTTTAATTGTAAATGTTAGCCTTTCAGGGAGCCTTGGTGGCCCAGTCGATTGAGCATCCGACTTTGGTTCATGTCATGATCTCACGGTTCATGAGTTCGAGCCCCACGTCGTGCTCTGTGCTGACAGCTTGGAGCCTGGATCCTGCTTCGGATTCTGTGTCTCCCTCTTTCTCTGCCTCCCCACCCCCTCCAATCATGCTCTGTCTCTCTCTGTCTGTCTCTCAAAAATAAATAAACATAAATAATAATAATAAATAAATAGTTAGCCTTTCCTTTAGGGTACCATATGTGTTATGACCAGTCTTTGGTCAAAGAACCCCTACATATTTTCATAGGATGTTACTTTTTCCCATCTCTTTGCTCTCAGTAAGAGCTAAAACTTACATATCTATAATCTCTTTAAATAAAAAAAATATTATTTTGCTCTTTGGAGGTAGTTGAAGGAAGTTGAAGGCTTTGACTTTTTTTTTTAAATGTTTATTTATTTTTGAGAGAGAGTAAGCATGCCTGAGCAAGGGAGGGGCAGAGAGGAAGGGAGAGAGAGATTCCTAAGCAGGTTCCACACTGTCAGCATGGAGTCTGACATGGTGCTCAAACTCACGAACTGTGAGATCATTACCTAAGCTGAAATCAAGAGTTGGCTGCTTAACCAACTGAGCCACCCAGGCAGCCCAACCCTGGCTTTGACTTAGTCACTGGGTTGAAAGTGAATACATTCCATGGACATTTCATTGACTGATATTCTCTTGAATAAGAATATTGTCATAAAACAGGCAATAAAACAAAAGCACCTTTCTAAATAAGCTTTTGTGAACAATGAATGTTTGGGTTAAGGTTTGGATTTTCAGGATCCCATTTTATGTTAAGACCTAACAGCTATTGTGATTTTTAGCACCTAAAAGTTTGTTCTCAGAAATATTTTAATATAGATATTTAATATAGATATTATAAATCAACTTCACAGATTTTAAGATCATATTTGATGGAATGAGACACTATGAGCCTTGAACTGAAAGAATTTCTAAAGTAGACTTTTGGGGCATTCTGTGGTTCATTAGGTACAAACCATTGAATTAGGAGCTAAGGAGCATAACATGATATGACATAGTTGCTGGGTCAAGAAATGGCATTTGGTAGCATCTAATCATATCATAATGCTTAGTTTTATCAGTAAACATTGTAAAAATCCACACAGAAGTAGGGGAGTACTTAAAGGATGGGAGAGGCCATAGTCATTCCTACAACCCTTTTAACATCAAAGGCTTCTGCCACATCACCATTTTAAACTGTGCTTCTAAACAGTGGGGAAATAAAGACTTGCCTATGGAAATGTAACTCATTCTTCAAATATTTCTTAGGTTTCTATTA